AAAAAAAAAGGTTCAACACCGGGAGGGTGTGGGGAGAGCAGAGATGACCCTGCTTCCCCACAAACAAACAGAATCAATGCCCTTTCAAGGATAGCCCGGACACCAACGCCCGAACGGGCATGGGCTGCAGTCTTGCGGCAGGTCGGGGGAGTTCGGGAAGTAATGCCAACGACGGTTCCCCTGACCTTCCCAACACGGTCGATGTGGGTCACCGGTGGGGTTTTAGTGGGTATGCCCGGGAATTCACTCCCGGGTGACTCCCACATAACCCGTGGCTCCTCTCCTGAGGTCCACGGGTATCCATAAAGGATTTCCCCACAAAAAAAAGAAAAAAAAAAAAGTTTAGATTCTTCCTTCCAGCACTGGTCACGAATATAAGTCCGTGCTTACGACAATCTTGAATATGAGAACAAACTATGAATATCGCCCTATGTCTAAGTATTGCCGGCATTACCCAAGATGTACCAGACGGAGGTTGCCTGATTGGATTTACGCCATCTAAGATCAAACTGTTCAGATTACTAAATGGATTCTTTTGAACACTACAACCTTGTCTAAATATTTTTTGTAAAATGTTTTTTTTCTGAAATATTAGATCGCTTTGGGACTTTTCAAACGCCATGTTTAACAAGTACACTAATCGTACTACATTTTCACGCACCTAAATTGAACAGGAGCAATTGTAACGCTATCCACAATCTTTTTATTGTAAATTGGTACATAAAGATTTATCAAACGTCCAGCTAACAACAGCAAAAAGCAAAATATCACCCTGAATTGAAGTAATATGTCTGACTTCGGCCATAAAAACGGTGTTAAGACTTTAATCTTGTACCATAAATTTGTCCATGTGGAAATATTATCATCTGGTCTCTATAAATATAAAATTCAGATTTTTCTTAATCATGTAATAAGGATACACAAGTCCCAGTTTATATGAGTATACTACTTTAAAATTTTCTGATATTTTCTGTATTTTATAATATTTTTTTATATAGAAATATTTCACTCTCATAAAAATTAAGATAAGAACTTTACTAATTTTTGAATTTGCAATTTTGCAAAGTGTACTAATACATTTGCAAAATTTTTTAAATTTATTATTTTATTTCTAATCAATCAATCTTGTTTTTCTGAAATATTAAAATAGAAACATCAAGCAATAAATATTTTATGGGATACTTTACATTTTATATTAAAAAAAATATTATAACAAAATACAAAACATTTCAGAAAGTTCAAAAAAGTTTAATCATAATGGACTTAAAAAACAATATATAACAATATGCATAATGCTTCATACTTTCCGGGCAATGTTTTTTTCAGTTGTTGCCATAATAATTTCTTTATTTAAAATTAAACATTAAATCGACTTTCCCTCTTTAGCTATTAAAAATAAATAAAAATCAAACATTCATTTCTATGTACGTACATAGAAATAGGTAGGTCTTCTACCTATTTCTTTTAACACAAAGAATACAATACCTACGTGTACATAACTATATAATATTGAAGTGATAAAACTGATTCCTAATTAAAACAGTTTGTTGACACAACAACGCTAAGATACATCCGTTTTTTTTTAAATTAACTCACAAGGAAACAGACCCAAGTGCCCTCCTACGATTTTGACGAGTTTTAATAATGTTGTAAAGTAGCTCGAAATAAGAGACACGTATTTTTTTTATCTGCGTTCTCGCACGTTTAGGGTTCAAACAACTCCTACAAGCTAAAGCAGTCTATTTGGTTTTGACTGAGTATCGTCAAAACTGTAAGAGATATCAAAAAATGTTTCAAATAAAAGTTGGATGGTCCCTGGTAGAAATTTTAATCAGGCTCTTGCATGGCACTGATCAGCGTGCCATACTGCCATTTCAGGAACTGACATGACATGCTAGTAAGCACCATCCATAAAATCGTCACGTTTTGCCCGCTGGCGCCACAATTTTGTAATGGATTTTGCGTAATGCTAGCATGGCGCTAGCATGGCTCTAATAAGATACTATCATAATGCAAGCATGATGCTAGCAACGTGGCATAGGCGCGCGCGCGCGCGCGTGTGTGTGTGTGTGTGTAA